GAAGTGTAGCTATGCATCTAATATATAAAATTACTTGAAAATATTCTATTAATTTATTAATAACTATTAATTCGTTTAAAAGTATACATCTTTGTACCACATCTATGTTCATCTATGTTGTCTTCAAAATGATCTCCAATTTTTTTTTAAATTAGTACCAACTTTCCCGTATCGATCGAGCACAGTGATGTCCTTGATTCATTTACGATACCAATTTCGGGTTTATTTATTGATATTTGAGAAGGCATGAATCCACTATCCTTATCAACCAATATGAAACCATAAAGATGCCGATTTAAGTCTCAAGTTAAGTCAATACATTATTATAATTGTCAAAAAAAAAAATTTGCAATGACTTACAGATTTAAGTAAATTTGCATTAATTGCTTATATACGACGGCTTTCCTATGCCAACTAAATCTGAGCTCTTTTTAAAATACGCCATTTTTAGTTTTAGTAGTATTTATATATCTTTCAAAAAAATATTTTTTAAAAACAATAATGTTATAAAGTTAAAAAACAATAAAAACTAAACTATTAATCCTTTAAAGAAACTACATAGATAAGTATGTGAAATGGAAAGAGGATCGAAGATTCCTCAAATAGCTAAGAAAGCTATTTTGATTCCACAATTCCTCGTCATAATGGGTAGAATAATGAATATCTTAAAACCAGCCGTACGCATTGACAAATGCAAGTTTCTAGCCAATAGTAATATTGGAAATAACGCTGGGTGACCAAAGAATGGGGCGACCAATTGCTTAAGCCTGGTTTTGGATAAGTTTGGACATAGATACAATAGATGCTCTGGTTTTTCCACGTCCAGTGTTGTTGAACATGTATATTATTTTTTCCTTGAGCTCGAACCTAGATAGTAGCATATACAGATCATATATTTACATTAATCTCAAGTCACGTTTTCACACGTGATAAGTCATATCACAGCAACCTAATAGCTCGTTTATGTGCAATGATTAGGCAGTAAATTTAAATAACACAGAAAAAATAGACTGCAAAGGAGCGAGTTCTGAAAAGCTAGATGTAAACACTATAGTTCCATCCTGTCTGCCTTACCATTAATTCTACAATAAAAAACAATAATTTAAAAAAATATTTACAGCAATAGAATGGAATAAAAAGTAGTGAAAGTTAATCCTACATTGTAGTACTTTTATAAACTGAAACGATATATATTAACACAATATACTCCAGGATTGATTGATTCAGTATTTATTAATATAAGAATTATATAATTAAAATCATTCATCTGCACTTGTATGATCAACCTTATATTTTTAAGAAGGCAAGGATATATTCTGTGATAATTTCATTTTAATTCCGAACATTGAGACGATGTAAATTAAATTATAGTCAACTTAAGGGAAAATTTGACTGCTACCTAAGTTTTCAACGATTCTGAAGAAAATAGCAAAAGTTCCCAGCACAAATTAACATGTGCCCTTAAAAAAAATACTCGGATTTAAGTCATGAGAGACGATATTTCATAAATATATCATCGAGGCACTTCATGTACTCTCAAACAAACAAATAAATATATATGGAAATTTTAATTTTTTGAGAAGAAATATATAGGTATGAATTTTTCTATAACTTCTAGAAATTATTCTAGCTACTAGTCATTAATTAGTCTATAATTCATTTATGACATTCATCCATTTCTTGAGTTGACAGTCGACACATTTAGACCAAATTGGCCACAATGTGGCCAAGGGTATAAGGAAATAATTATATATTACGATATAATAGAAGTACTTGTTACTCGTTACCATCTTGAAGTACTTGTTACCATCCAAATGTAATCAAGCTTAACATAATCAATTACTCTTCTCTTGTGTATTTTAATTGCTATTAATATATTAGTAAAGAATCGACTAGCCCGTCTAAATATGATACCTTTTAATTAATAACTGTTCTAAATATGATAATACAATAAATACGAAATATAACATTTGCTATAATAAGCTATAGGAGCAATTTCCGCTGCATTATCTATTTTTTATATGGCAACACTTTTAAGGTATGTACTTTCCGGAAAGAACAGGTAACGAAGCAAGGTACCTGAATTGAATATATTCCAGAATGATTAACAATCCAATTTGAAGATTATTAATAAAATAGAGTTTGGAACCATCAAACTCTTGCTTTTTAGAAAGCAAATTACTTTTGATAAGTTTTGATTGGTTGTTCTAAACATTATTGATGTATATAATGTGAATTATAAAGCTCAAAGAAATGTAAAAAAATAGTATAGTATGTAGTCATATAATTTAAGTTGTGCCAAAAACTAAGAAATTACGTAAAGTTATTGGGTTCATTGTCTGATTTCATGTTAAATTTTTGGAACTAAGCGTGAGAAAATATAAAATTTTTGGCAACTTTACCAATTTCTTTTTATTACTGAATATACACAAGGGGTAAGGTTGTATCTGACAAGATCTATTCGTGTATTTCAACTTATTTGGCAACGAATAACAAATTTAATTTATTTTATTTTCTTTTTAAATTGTATCTTTCGTGTGCCACATATTTACATATTGTAAAAACTTAAATGGATAAATAACTGATAAGACCTTTATCTCTGTTTTGAATATCTTTAGATCAAATTATTAAGATTTATCCATTTTCTTAGAATTTTGTTTAATTGGGAATTAAGTTATGCTCATCAGATACATAATATGAAAACAGCTTATTAAATTTGTAAAGATGTTTGTAAGGTACTAAAGGGGCTTTTAGAGAGCCTTTAAACCAATTAGAAATAGACCTTGAATAATTGCCGGAATAATCCAAATTTCATATTTATATTTAAACTGAACAAAACAAAATTGATTATCAGTATTTGGTATTATACTTAGTGGATTAACTAAAACTGCAAAATATGTCACAGAAATATTAGATTTATATTTCTTATTTGAATATATTATTAAATTTCATTCAAAAATTATAACTGTATTAATAATATCATTTTTAAAAGTATTTTTAAAAAACAAATGCTAGTATAAACTTATATGCTTTTATGTGAAATAAATTATAATTTAATTAAATTTTAAAAAGTATATAAGCAAAACTTTTATTTCTTATTTTAATAATTTCTGATAAATTAATAATCAATCTACTTAACAAATATTTTTTACAGGATAATATTATTTTAGAATTGTTTTTAAACAATTATTTAACAAGCACTAAAATTCACTAAATTAAATTTTACAAAATTGTTATTTTTATATTTAATTCAAATTCTACACTACATTTGACTAAAATATAATATAATATAAAATTGTAAAATTTTGAATTTATTTATCGGCCTGTTTTTTTATAATGTTTCTATATTTATATATTTTCCTTATTGGCTATAAGTCCCTCTTTGTAAAATAATTCAACGTTTGTTTAATAATTTTTATTATATTCTATATTTCGACTCTACTTGAGAGTCATCATTACTAAAACTATGTTATATCTACGCCATAGACAATAGATATAGACAATAGCATAAAGAGGATGACATAGATATAGTTTTAATAATATTAATTTATGTCAGATCCTGATCCTGATGATGACTCTCAAGGAGAATCGAAATATAGAATATAATAAACAAAAAATATTAAACAAACGTTAAAATATTTAACAAAAAGGGACCAACAGCCGGATAAAAAAAAAACAAAATAATATATAATTGTTTATTATAGTAATATTTATTATATATACAGCAATATGCTTAATTATGCTTAATTAAGTTGACTAAAATTAAAACAATAAATATTTAATTTTAATTTTAAATATTTCATCATTTATTTTTTATAAATATTTTTTAGACAGGTTTCAAACAGTAGTAAATTTTAATAACAAAAATTTTATTTATTTTTAATTAATCAAATTTTTGAATGTTGCAATTCACTACTATTCGAAACTTCTTTTTTAAACACAATAGTTTCTATTAAGTAAAATAGTCTTAATTATATTAATTGATATATTTATTTTTTTTTTATTTATATATATATTTTTTTTATTTATATTTATTTTTTTTTTATTTATATTAATTTTTTTTTTTTGTTTAACTGGTCGAGAAACAAATTCAAAATTTAATTAATTATTATTCATAAAATTAAGAACTAATAAAATAGTTAATTATATATCTAAAGTCGAATCAAGTTTAATATATAAATTTATATATGTCTTACTAATTTATATAACTACTTTGTAGTAGTAGTAGTAGTAGAAGTAGGTGTATAGTAATAGTATATGGCATGTTTTTTAAAATATTTGATTGTATAAACTTAGCCAATTCACAAAGAGTTCGTACAAAAGTCTTTCAATTTTGCCTATTTCGAGCGATATATCTCAGTTCAATTATCGATTTATTCGTTTCATTGTTTATGGTTCTACGCCAAGAATAGCGAGGGCGTCCACGGGTTCTACTGTCTTGCGGATTCCAGGTTACTGCCTCATGTGCTGCGTCATTTGTGCTTTTGTGTGACATGTGTCAAATCCACCTATATTTCCGTTGTAGAATTTCTTTCTCGAGGGGCTCCTGCATAATAGTAGTATAGTATTTTTATTTTAGTTCAAAAAATATTTCAATTTTAAAATTAATCATACATGTTAATCTCAGCTATGAATAAATAAATTAAAAATATTTTCGCATTAAAATATTGTTAATTATTGAACTAAAGGCAAGCATAAATTGTTATCTGCCAACAAACTAATTAACTAAAAAAGTAGAATTTTAAAGCAGATCAAAGTATATTTAAAAGTATATTTTAGTTAAATAATTTAATTAAATCTAAAAATTTTCCTTTATTATTCTTTGCCTGTAACTAATTGCAAAAACTACTTTATATAAAAAATATATAAAAAAAATATTTATTAAGAAATATTAAATTATATAAAAAAAAATAATTACTTTTTATAATAGCTTTAATAAAACATATAATATAAAAGTTAAACTATAAATAATGAATTCTTTTTCTTCTTATATTTTTCAGTCGCAACCTCCAACCACCAAAAGCAGAAACATTACATACACTCTTAGATGCAATGTTGCAACGAAGAAGCACAAAGCCGCCAACTGTGTACATGTGACTCGTAGCGTATGAGCAATACGTCGTCGGCTTTGGTCTGACCAACCAAAAACGATTGACGAACTTGCGCTCAAACCACTACGAACCGTAATGCACTTCACTTCGCCAACACATGCACATTCTCATAAGCATAACAGAGGGAAACACTCTAAGCCGCTGTGCTTTGCACTTACGCGAAACGCAAGGGAAGACAATATTTAATAGTGCAATAACAATAAAAAAAATACACAATAGCAATAATAACAATAATAATAATGAAATTAGTATAATAAAAGTATGCATACGTCTGAGTGCAAAGCACAGCCTAACAGAGCAACAGAACAACAGAACAACGGAATAACGGAACAACGGAACAGAAGAACAACAAAATACATCGTACGATATTAAATAAGGAAATGAGTTGGCAAATGAAGTGTGTTGCTCTTGTGTAGGAAACGAAAAAGAGCACAGTCGGTGGTTTTCTATTTCTTGGAATGGCAAGGCTGAAAACCGAGGAGAAATACGAGTAAATTGCAATTTGTTCATTGGCTGCAAGCACCACAAAGGATAACGACCAATCGCAGCACAAAAATGTTAATGTTTATATCCTTAGCTGCTTGAAGGCAATCAACGTTTCCAGCACCGAACCGAGCCAAAAAATAAAATACACGAAACAGTGGAATAAAAGGAGGAGCCTAGTAGATGGCCAATAATAACAAATTCAAATACAATAAAAAAAAGTATAGGAATTTTTTATTCTTGACTTGGAAAAAGCAAGCAATTTGAAAAAAAAGCGACAGAATTGCAAAAATTTAGTTGACAAGTTTGCGCTATTCTCATTTTGATAAAATCCATTGAAAAATTTATAAAAATTTTAATTTATAATTTATTTAATTTTAATTTCTTTACAATAATATTCAAATTGCAGAGTTCATTTTAGTTCTTTCATATATAATTAATATTATTTAACATTAAATATAATAGTAACCTTAAAAAATATATGAGTAATCAATATTACAATTTAGTTTTAGTAACCGTTAATTCAAAAAAAAATATTTAAATAATATTTAGATTTTTGAAAAAAAAAAACACATAAACTATTGTCCCATATCTATATCTATGCACTGTCGGAAAAGATCAGACCGTGACCGAATGACCAGGTGGCACTAAAACAACATCGGCAGTGCGTCTCAAAGGTTCATTCGAGGAGATGTTAACAATTAAATTTTATTTTATAATTATTAAATTAATACATAAAATAAATTGATAATTGGTACACCAATTTCAGATATATATACAATATATATAATATTATGTATAATTAAATTTTAAAATATTCTTAACATAATTACCGTCATTATGCGGAAGAGAAAAAAATTAATAAAACTTAATAAAATCGTGAAGCTAGAAACAGCGGAACCAAAAGAATTTGTGTTTTCATTTAAAAAGTCAAAAAAAATATAGTAATTTTTTTAATATGTGGATACGAAGTCAGTTATTTGGAAAAAATTATAGCTAAAAATTGTTGCAATTTTCAGTAAATGCTGTTTACACATATATACTAAGCTCTCAACATTATTTATCACAAAAGTTTTCCTTTGAAAGCTCCATCCATTCATACCCATCCATACTCCATCCATCCATACCTCCATATTACCTTTTATAGAATTGTATACAATATTTTCTCCTCTACTACAACCATTAATGTCTATCCATTCATAGTATGCACAGCAGTACTTAGAGGAATATAATAATTAATTATTATTTAAAAGGGGTTAGTGCACTACGACCTAAAAGTTCTATTATGCCCCTTAGTCGGATTAGAGTGTTTTTCCAAGTCCGATTTCTTTAATGAAAGACAGTATATAGCTATACCTTTCCTAGTCTCGAATCCTTATGATCCATGAAATAACCTCTTACGTGTTTCTACCGTTTGTGCATAAGTGCCGGGCACTCCCCAAGCACATGGTATGCAATGTCTCTCTCTTCTCTACAGTATCTGCAGTAGCAGGATAACATAATTTATCATAACACTTTCCCCTCAACTACATCTTTTGATATCCATTCATTGGAAAAATGCATATCAGTATTTGAAGAAATATAATACCAACTACTTTTCGTACAATTTATAGCAACCATTTATCTGGTATTATATCCATCGATTAGTCATGCGCATACTAGTACTTTCAGGAATATTCTGTACTTATAATTAACAGCAACATTTTGATATTAATATAATACATATATATATACATATTTATATATATATATGATATACCATATAACAGTTTCTCTTTTACTAGGCCTATTGATATCTATCCATCGGTTTCATGCATACTACTGTTTTTAGGAATATACTACTTTCTACTTTTTCATTTGTTATTAAATTTTGATTTTTACATTTTATCAATATTTTCTTTTATTATAAAGAATTTTACTATTATTTATAAAGAAATTTCCTTTGAAATCCATTTAGAAGGATGTATTCTTTCATTACATTCATATATATTATATAGGTTTATCAATTTGTGGTTCCGAAATTAAATTTAAAACAAAAATACAGTTTATATTAAAATTTAGAACAAATTTTTATTTTAATATATTGTTACTCATTAGATGTAAAGTCTATCATTTAAATGTTCTCCACGGGACATCATAGACTACTGGATACTTTGAGGTCATTTTCGATAACTTATTGGCATTGTATATAAATATATGATCATCATAAGACTAAAATTTTTTTCGTTAGAAATTTATAATTACAAATTTTTAAAATAAAATTAAGTAATACTTTTCTTTTCTATAAAAATTTTCAAAAATTTTTAATTTATGTGATTCTCGCTCAGAGGAACTGAAATTCTAGTTCTCTTATTAAAGTGGGAATTACAATCGAGTATCATAGATTGAAAGTAAAGTCATCACTGATATATAGAACGATAGTTCTATATTTATAATTATAAATATGTGTAGGTGAATCAAGTTAAACGCATATAGAAATCTATACTAATCTCTAGTCTGTTTTAACACGTGATGAGTTATATCACAGCAACTTAATACCTCGTTTACATAACATAGACATAATAGACTGCAACGGAACGAGTGCTGAAAAGCTGAACACAGCACTTAGGTCTTGTATAAAATAATTCCAAAAATCCATCCTTCATTTTATTTTAATCCTAAAATTATTTGTTTAACTTAAATTAAACATAATTAATTAAACATAAGAATAACTATACTATATATACTATATATATGTATATATATATATACTAATTCCAGGTTCGATGATATATATATTGATATTCAGATGTCTGAGTTGGTGAATCAGGACCTTTACTCTATTTTATCTGTGGACAGTTTTAAGTCACACTAAATATGGGGCTTTACGGGGCTTTATAATATGATGGATCTGATGTCTTTGTATCTGCCTGTGTTTATCAAATTAATTTACTTAATTTACACTGCTCATAGTCCAGTCATTTAGTTCGCTTCAAGCTCTTATCATGATCGCGTTTGCAATTGCACCTATGTGTAGTATATATATATGTGATTTACATATGCTTTTAGCTTAATTTGACTTATGTAGATTTTTTTCATGAGAAGAGGTAAAAGAACTTCTCCAAATGACGTCTTCTTGTTCACTTGTCCCGTGATTCATCCAGTGATTCAAATGGGGCACTGTATCTTGTAATATAATAATAACCTACGTGCTAATATAACTTTTAACATTTAATGTGTAAAGATACCTTCTATATCTAAGGATGAACTAGATTATATTCTTTAAACACAAACAAAATCTCAATTGTTCTAACAATTGAATTGCTGTTCACTTTGATTTTTCCTTTGTAGAACTTCCGATATGCTTTAATTCTATAATAAATCCCAAAAATGCACTTTCGATTATATTTCGATAATTTTATTAACGAAAACAATTTAATTGATTGATCTGAAGTTCTTAGACTGTGAGGACTTAAATCCTCCCTTACCAGCCTCCGGGATAATGGACCTCCAAGACTTATCGGAGTTTATAAATATTTTTGAAATATACTGTTAAATCCTAAATACTTAAAAATTCCACCTCACAATGTAGTATACATTTTAGAATTTGTTAGGAGAAAATCTGGACTCATCTCTGTATTTTCCAGAAAGTACATATGTATAAGTATCTTTATGGTTCCACTCTAATGAGATTGTATTCACTCTATATTGGAATAAGATTTTGCTGCATAATTTTTGAGAACAAGAAGAGATAAAGACTTTATTAAAAGTTTTAGTTCTAGTTCTAGTCCTCATTTTTCTATGGATCTCACAAATTGATAAGATGGGTAATACATATCACAAAATAATTTAGTATCACACAAAATTTAACATTACAATAGCCAACAATACATATAAGCTTACACATACATATTTTAATCACGATACAAGGGTAATATATAGCTTAATCCTATATCTTATATAAATATATATCTAATGTATGTAGGATATATATATGTATATTAAAAGAATTTTAATAAACTTCTCGATTAAACAAATTGAATTGTGCTTTTTGCCATTCCAAACTCATCTGCATTGAGAATATTTTAGCAGCAGAGGTGAAAGCTAATTCTATATTATAGTGCTTTTATTATAGTATTTATAAAGTTGTTGGTATTAGATTCAACTCTTTTAAGATAAGACACATATAGTCCTTGAATTTATTGCCTGTAGTTTGTTTCTTAATTGTCTCACTCGAAAAGCATACCGTATCTGTTTGATTGGCTGTTAACTAATGATCTCACCAATATTAACTCCATCACAATAGACATCATGATATGATCAACTGATACTGCATGGAGGGAGGGCTCTTCTGAAAATGTTGCCATTAGGATGTAGCAGGCAAGAAAATATTGCTTAGAATGCAGTAGTCGAATGCACTGTTTTACAAAAAGCATTTCAGGTCCTGCATAATGATAGAAAATACGCACACACCCGATGGTAACTGCTTGAAATCTGCAAGACTGCATTTGCAAAATCAATTAAAGGCCTTGTTTTACTCTTTCGTCACAACATTGTTGGACAAACGCTAAAACTGCGGCTAACTCCTAAAACGATTGTTTTGAAATAACCCAGCCAAAGCTCTCTCTCTCTCTCTCTTTGGTAATGACCTAGAAAGCCACACGAATTCATGGCTAAATCTTGCATATATTGCCCAGCATACATGACGACAAACTTACCCAACAGGTATATTACTATACACCTGCTACTAAATATATTCGTTTTTACAATTAGTTAACAAATTGTGTTAACTAGCTTATTAATTATATTAACTAATTAATTACCACAATTAATTAATTAATTAGTTTATGGGACAATAAATTGTCCGAATACTATGAAGCAACTTGTTTATGGAGGGGGTGTATGCAATGCACGTATTCCAATAATTCTTACCAACTTCCCCCTTTTATTTTAATAAACGTTAAAATATAACATAACTTGAATTATGTTAAACATTTTGCTAAACAATTTGCTAAATGTTAAATCGTTCAACTGTTGCTTTATTTATATACATTTAATTTTATTTACTTTTTTCAACTTAGTAAGTGTGTATTTTTGGAATATACAGTATATCATGAAGAAATTCTCATTATTATTACATCGAATACAATTTACGTCTATTTAGCAAATTAACACTTTAATACTTTAGAAATCCTGTTGGAATTCAAGATAAAAATAAAATAAATATTATAAATATATAAAAAATAATACTGAAGTGTATGTTTAGCACTTAAATACTTTGCAGATTTTGCACAGGTTTAGCATGCAATATATCAAACCTACTAAAAATATAAAACTATTATTAATTATATGCGACAATCTCAAACAATTTCACACTTTTATTTCAATTTGTTGGTAGATGGCGCACTCTGGCAATTAATGAATTGAGAGATACCCAATTATCAATTGCAATGGTTAGCAATTGAAGAATATATCGTGAACTAGGCGAATTTGCTAGAAAATTATTTAACATAAATAATTATATAATTATAAATAAAATTCCACAATATTTTGAACAGAATAAATTGTAATCAAAATTGATTTTTAATCAAGAACTTATTGTGATTAAACAATCTTATTAAAATAATCCTGTCTCATTTTTCAAAAATAAAATAATGATACAATGAGCATTTACGAAGCAAATAAAAAAGCAAAAGGCGTTACAATACTGAATATTGCAAATTAAATTAATTTTTTTATAGTTTTACTTTATATGGTTTAAGCATTAAAAATGATCCAAAATTCAAAAAATTAATTTTACCAATATAAGATAATAAATTTAAATACTAATTTAATGCGAATTAAATTATTTATATTCCTACTATAAATTTATAATTTCTTAAATATTTTATAATATTTAAAAACAATTTAATAATATTTAATTATTAGCTTTGCAAAACGACTGTAGGTTTGCCATCTACCGTTGAGTAGCAAACTGCGAAGCAACAGGAACTTTGAACAGCTGATGTATAAACAAATTAGTTTAGTTGCTTCATATAAATTTTCATAATAAAATAACTTAAGTTAAAAATTGATAATAATATAACGAATAATTGTTATGTCTGAGCTGCGCTCAAAAGTATTGCAGTTATACAAGCACGTAAATAGAAAAAAAAATTAAAATGTTTTAGTTTAAATTATTTTCATTTTGTCATTAAAAATGTAGTTACAATACTTGGGCCGGGAATATCCTGGAACAAATGGAGCTGAGAAATTTCGAAAAAAATGTCATAATGCTTTTATGGCAAATAAAGATGAAAAAGACCCGAGAAAAATAAAGGCACTTTTAGCGCAGGGACGTTATGTGGCAAAAGAAGTTGAGGCACTTTACTCATTACGCAAATATCGGGCAATGAAAAAGCGTTACGAATAAAATAAGTTAATAAATAATTGTTAAATATATGTCTGAATATGTGATATAACGTATCTAGGATCGTATGCAATTACACACGAATTTGTATTCATATCTGTAACTGAAAAATGCCAAATTATGTACATCAGTAATTAGCCAGAATCTTTCGGCTATTCTCGAGATTATAAGTAAAGTACAAAGTAAAGAGTAATAATGCCAGTTTCAATATAATAATTATATTTTATAAAAAATAATTTAAAAATATTCTCTGCTTATATTGTAATTTTACTATTAACCTTACAGAACAGAATCTTTTTCTAGCCACTGCATTTTAAGAATTTCACATTTTATATTCCTTCGGATTGCTTTTTTTTTATCTCTTTTTAAATACCGATGAGATTTTGATTATCATATAAAATAACGAGGTTATTGTTGTAAAATATTATATTTTAAATTTAAGTATAATTACTATCACTTTTTATATATTCCCTCTTACAACACTCAACGCCTATTCTATATTATTCACAACAATGCTAGAAGTCTGTCTTAGTGAGCTTCTTTGTAATACTTTCCGATTTCACAGCTTCAACGAATTGAAATGTTACTCTTTTTAATGCAACTTTGATCTTCAGTCATAGCTAAAAATCAAAAAGAGTGAACTCAAGTGAACTAGACAAAAGGTGTCTAACACTGGGACGTTGTATTTGGCTTAAAACGTAATGGCAAATAATATAGAAGTCGAACCGTCCTTGAAGAAGAACCTGTGCCTTGTTTTTCCACAATGTTTTCTAAGCATTTATTGTAAGTATCTACAGTTAGTATCTTTCGTTGAATCCATTGATCACTTTCTTGGTATCACAAATTTATCAACATCGGCAATAGAGGCAGCATCAAAACGGTTAAGTGTCGATAGGGTTTTATCGCAATTTATATCGACGCAATATCTTCTTCGAGACCAAGTTTACATTACAACAATCTTCTTAGTAGACCTTCGCATGTTATATCCCTGAAAAAGTACGCGCAGTAAGAAATTTAAAGACTCAACTATTATTCGTCTCGACTCTAACAGAACTTGTTGAGGTTTTGTGCTTATAACTTCGCCTATTTATTCAATCTTGTAGAATATACTGACTTGTGCCCAATTTGTTATTTCGTCTCATTAAGGTTTCAAAAGAGTTGAACCTAATGTAATCGTCATAGTCTCTTTGTGTTTTTTGTTTTTTAATTGTATAGCTTACAACTATAATCTCCATGATTCCAATGTTAAACAGAAAGCTTTAATTCACAAATGCTAAACTGATCGAATATGGCGATATAACGATAAAACGGATATTTCACATATTAATTTGTATTAAAAAGTAAGAGAAGAGTTGCAAACGCTTGAGAAATAAGATACTGGATTATAAATTAATATACATATGAGATATGAACCGACACTGTCAACAGTTATCATCAGAACAAGATGGATCTGTTTAAGAAGACATAATGTAAGTTCTGCTTGGAAATAAATAAAGTCTCTAGTAATTTTCTTCGCGACTGTTCAGCTTTAATTTAAGCCAACAGAAGAGAACTGAGCAAGGAATTTCTATACTCTATTAATATTAGGAAAGCCGTAAGAAGAAATATATTAACCTTTATTCGAAGAGCTGAGTATCTTCTGTTCAGTTAATATTTATTACTAGCACAAAAGATTTAACATACTATAAACACACTGCTCCGCCCTAAATTATTACATTAAATAAATAATTATGTGCTAAATAATTGTTTTAGCACAGTCGATTTCATAAAACATGCTGTGAATATTTTAATTATAACAGAACTCGTAATCCTAATAAAGATAGAATTAGAAAACACGTACTTAAGTTAGTAAAAAAAGATGTTTATAATGTGTAATTAATATAACAACTAATTGCGAGGTTGCTTGGACCCGATGGGTAAAATTGGATAGGAGAAAAACGAAAAATATTTTGGATTTCAGCAAGCCAATAGTTCATGTACTTACTGGAGTATTATATTAACGAGTCTCTATGCTATAGCACTAATGCTTCATATTTGATGTATTCTAACAAAGTGTGCAAGAGTTCTCATGAGGAAAAGGAAGTAGAATCTTCTTCTTCATCACTTTCTAAGTCTCTTTCAGAAACTAAAGACAAAGTAGCTTGAATGTAAAGGAGACTTTTTTCTATGGGCTTGGCACAAATAATAAAAGTAGGTCTAATGAATCTTTTAAATTTCATCTGGAAAATCAAATGGTTTAATAAGGATAAAAAAATGAGCTGTTTGGAAATAATGGTTGTCTTCTTCTATTGGCCCACTATACAATATTTCTTTCTTGTCTACTCAATATACTATATATATTCCAAAATAGTTCTCGTTTTTCCTATCTTAGTTATAGATATTTTATAGTTAATTATAATAAATAAACAAATAAAATAGTACGAAATATGTTATTCATAAGGCCATGGTTAACAACTATGCCTTTGCGTATATATTTCTGGTGTTGTTGCTAATACGTCAACGACGGACTCAAATTTGCTATGGGAGAAAGGCATATTTTTAGAATAAATATGAATTGAACAAAGGTTACAAAAAGTTTTTAAGTTCTATTAATATAAAGTAATCACCTGGGAAAAATATTCCCAAAATTAAAACACCATATCAAAAATCATTAACAAATACCTTCCAAAGGATTTAGGGTGAAATATATTAGTTATAACAATAACAATATAACAAGCACAAACTTGAAAATGTTCAAACTTATTATCCAAACTAGCTCTTTGAGATTCAGTTAAACAAATGATAGACTATATCAGGATTTAAATTATATTAAATCAACATTAAAAGATAAAATTCATTAGCTTCATGGAAATAATCTTCAAGTCCTTTTTAGTAACTAAACGTTAGCTGTGAGATAGTCACTTAGCAGTTGAGATACTGTGATACTATACAGTTTAGTAGTTCTTTCATTGCATTTAACTATAATCTATATTTTTTGTCTTAATATAATAAAGTTCTTGAAGTTATTAGTAAAACTTTCTCGCTATTAAACGGTATATGAGACCTTTTGATATATACATTTGTTGATTTATATAAAAGAAAATTAAATATATAAAATTCGTATATATTTCACATATAAGTTTTAAAATCTTTTAACATTTCCGTACAAAAATCTTTAATAATAATAACAATTTTTAAGTTACTAAAATTTGTTGTCTTAAAACTAAAATTAGATAATTTTTCTTTATATATAAAATAGTTGTTTTGAGCATAGAGAGGTAAATATTAATATAAATATATATTTACAACAATAAGTGCCTTATCACAAACTTAAACACAATTACATCACATATTTTAAAATATTTAAGGATATTCGTCAACAAATAAATTGAATTAATGATTTCTTATAATAGAAGCAAAATTTTCGAATGTTTTGGAATACAAAGTTTTTGCTAGGGAGCAGATCATGGAATTTTTACCAATTGAAGTACATAATCATATTTGTTTATAATAAATTTCCAATTATTTTTAAATCATTTGATTGTTTGGATAGGATGAAGAAGTTTTCTGCTATAAAATTAAATGAGAAGATATATGAACCCTCTCGTATAAGCGTAGGATTGACACATGAAGTACATTAAGTATTGCTGCAGATCTTATTAATTCGTTATGTTAACCGAATTCAAAACCGAGTACGTCATCCAAACCATAATCGAAGAGATGGAAATCATCGACATAAATTTCATACAATCTACGTATAGCGCTTATGGGCAATGGATCAAAATATGCCCGCAAATGTGCACGTGTACTCGACGGTTTATGCCCAGTCGGAAAAGTTAAATTATTTGCACCAGCTAAATATAGAGCTAAGGCAGAATCATCCAATAGAGTTTCATATTTGCCTGGAAACAAAAAAAAAACACAAATTAATATGTATATTAAAAGAGTAATAAATAAATAATAAATCAAAGAATAACAAGAATTTCTATATTGCATGCATTATACTTAATTTAAATTAATTAACATAATTATAATATATTTTTTTAATTTCTTAATATATCACTATTAATAATTTAAGAATAATATATTGAATTTTAATAATCAAATAAATATATATTACATTTTTTCACATATTATTAATTTTTTTTTAATAATTGAAATTAGTATACTGCTAATATTAAGTAAAATACAACATGTAATCGATTTTTAAAATTTATTAATATTTGGCTTTATAATACATAATATATTTTTTAAAATAATATTTCACGTTTAATAATAAACACAAATATATACACTATATTTTTAAAATTTATTAATATTTAAATATTAATAATTAAGACATACACATTTTTAAAAATACACTTATGCATACATAAACGTTACACATAAATACATATAATAAAATTATACATATATATTATAATTATATATTAAATTTACTTATTTATATTTATATTTATATTA